CATTAACAAAAAAGATGTCAGACACAGGGCAAATTCTGTAAAGGCAGGACTAATTACAAACAGAAGTGACCCACCTGTACAGACAAAGCCAAAGAAAAAAACCACACACTGAAAAAAAAAAAAAAACCAAAAAACAAAACAGTGGTCTTCTATCAATCACATAGGCTGGCCTCAGGGAAGTTCAGAAGACCTGGGCCTTTAGGCCTTCAGTACCCACTGCTCACAGCTTCACTGTACCATATAAACACAGACTCCTGATGGTGTGAGAAGCTCCAGGTCCACACACAAAGTCAGTGATTACCAAGATTTCAGGGCCAAAGGACACTTACTCCCCACCATGGGTACAAGACCTGCTATGAAGAGCACTCATGCAGCTTATTATGGCTGTCACACCAGGTTCACATCCCTGTGGTCACACTAGTGGCTTGTTACTAAAATATTGTGGGGAAGAAATGTTGGGTAGATGAAAGTAACAGCCACCCCAAGTAATCTTCTAAAATGATGGAGATTGAATTCCAAATCAGCGGATATTGTGGACAGAATATATGTATTTTCCCTAAATTCCCATGAGACCCTAATTGCCAATGAGACCACATTGCACACAGGGAGCTTAACATGACTTAGGTCAAATGAGGCCCCAGTACAGGGGTCTAGGATCACAGCACTGCTGTTCTTACAAAAGGAAGAGACACCAAAGTGTTCTCTCTCATCAGAACAGTGGGAATGTCACATGAAGGCACAGGGGAAAAAGGGTGGGTGCCTGAGTGAAAGCCTTTTCCAGGAATAAACCCGTCAGTCTGTGTATCATGCACTTTTGACATCTGACCGATGAGAACATGCACATCTCATTTGGGTTGATATAGCTAAGTTGAAAAACTCACCTGGCACATGGGAGGCCCTGGGCTCCATCCATACCTATAGATTAAATCTTATAGATTGTGTGCTGCTGGGCTCTCAGTTGCCCATCACACACACACACACTGCCACACACTGGGTAAACTATAAAGAACTGGTTTACTTTGGTCTACAGTTCTGTTGCGGCAAGATGGAGGGGGACATATGGCAGTGGCCTCCTTGGTATTAGACTGATGCAGGGCAACACATGAGACAGACAGCCGGTATCTATGTGTGTCTCCTCTGGTCTCTCTACTCCATATAAATCCATGAGAATTCAGTCATGGTGGTTCTTCCTCAATGACTTCATCTAATCCCAAATCAGTTTCTGAAGGCACCACCTCTACAGACCATAGTTGGGCTAAGTTTTTATTATGTTAATAACTCATAAAGATGATTAAATTTCAACACACAAAATCTTGGGGGACCACAGAATTGTGCTATTTTATTATGGCAATCTGAGAAGCAAATGAGAGCAGGTGAGGAATAAATTAGACCCTCAGAAGTAGTACAGGGAATAAAGATTAGAGGAAAGCTAGGTATTCAGCTCACACCAACTGTTGTCAAGCAATACAATACAGAGCTATCGGTGGACTTGTTTTTTCCTTGTTTGTGCTTCTGGGTTTGAACTCAGGACCTACACCTTGAGGCACTACCCAAGCCCCTTTGTGATGGGTTCAATCCCAAGTAGCAAAAACAGCAACAAAAAAGTGTCAGTGTACAAACAATATACAAACACATTTGTTTCAAACAATGGATGAAATAATTTGGCTCTTGGAGCGATCCTGGATAAAACAATAGCCATCTTTGAACATGTCTTGAAAAGTAGCATTTCTGCACTGGAAATGCAATCTTCAATATCTCCAAACTGAATGAATGTTATGAAGTTAAAACGAAGATTTTCAGAGATAGAAATCCACATCACTGTTCTAAAGACAAGTAACTGTTTTCCATATGCCCTACTGCAAACTCTTAACGAATCACACCCTCAAATAAATTCTCTGTCCCAAAGTGTGGAAGTACCAGATATATAGCTCTCATAAACAATAAGAGAAACATGCAGCAATGTGACTTGCATGATGACATGAAGTCCAAGCCGATCTCTTTCACACTGGAGTGAAACCCTACCCCATGGGTCATGAGGCAGCAAGCAGTCCATGTGCTCTGCCTACTGAGAAGGAACCATGAGCAGCCTCCAGTCAAATTTAGAAAGAAATCAGGCCCTTGGACTATGTTGTCGATGAAATGATTTATGCTAAAAATAAGGTTGGAAGTAGTGCCCTTCAGTTAATCTCCAGTTGGAATGCAGGCCAGCTGACACCTTGATTTCACACTTCTGAGTTCAGCAGTAGAGGACCTGCCCAAGTCATTTTCAGTCTCTTGACTCACAGAGACAGATAGTAAATCCCTGTCATTTTCAGCTAAGTTGCTGGCTATTTCTAATGCAACAGGAGAAACCCAATACCATTTAAATATCCGAAAACAGAGAAACTGCAGATGGGCTATTACAGTTGTCTTCACATCATCATTCATGTTGGGTGTACAGACCTCTGACCAGCCACTCTCTGTGCCAAATATGAGGCCACAATATGCAACCACAAGAATGTCAACAAATAGCAGTGTCTTCCAACAGGAGAGCCATGTGTTACATGTCTACTGTTTTCCTTCATGAGAACATTCCCAGACATGCCTCCGGATTTTGTTATATCCCTGAACAGAGCTGAGATATGGACTGAGAACAAAAGGACTCCTAAAGAATTACTGAAGTTAGTCATAAAAAGAAAAACCAAAATAAATCCCTGAATCACTGTGTAGAAGTGGGTAACAAAACGAAGTCAAGACATTGTCAAGCCAGCGATGGTGGGTCACACCTGCAACTGCAGCTACTTGGAAGGCAGAGATCAGGACTGAGATTTATGGCCAGCCAGGGAAAAAAACAAGTCCACCTCAATTAATAAGCCTGGTATGGTGGCGGCACCTGTAATCCCAGCTACATGAGCCAGGTAAGAGGATTGCAGTGGGAGGCTGGACCCGAGCAAAAATGTAAATGAGTAAAACGAGTACCTAAAACACGAGTAAATCTGAGGGAATGGCTCATGTAGTAGAGCATTTGTTTAGCAAGCAGGAGGCCATGAGTTCAAATTCCAGTAATGTAACAACAAAAGACTTGGTCAAAAAAGTGAAGATGACTATTGTGAAGTCCAGCACATCTGTTACAGGCTGCTACCACTTTAATATAATAATTTGACGTGTGATAGGAGTTACTGTCACCATCATGGCTACAAACTCTGTGGTATTTATCAAGTGCCAGGAAATACTGGAAGAACTGACCTAATTTACTGACTCTTTGATGCAGATTCCTTTATTTCTGTTTTGAACAGGAAGAAACAGAAGCCTAGAGAGAGGGAGAAGGGAAGTCATATACTAGGTGGTAGAGCCAGGATTTAGTGTTTGGTCTGTTAATGGGCTGTGCCCACCTCCCCATCACAGATAATGCAGGGGCTGCTCAGATGCACAGCACTCAGCACACAAATGCATGGCTCTGCTGCTACCTCATGGAGGATGGGGACTAAGAACCAAGGGAGAAATTCACTTCCAGACATTGCTATTCATTGAATAGAGTGAAACCAGTACTGCTGATCACAGCTGTGTAAGCTGATTTAAGCTTACACTGTTAACAGGATATGGGAGGCTGAGGCAGGAGGAGCTTCGAGACCAACTTGAGCCTCAGATCTGTCTCAAAAAGGATTTTTAAAAGGTAATAATGACAACATTGATATACATTAGCAGAAAAGTTTATAATGCAATACTTTCTACTTAATAGACTTAGCAATACATAAAGCTAGAGTGACGTTTAATGGGAAAGTCCTACCAGCCAATGGTTGGATATGCCGTTTCCCCAAACCCTCCTGAGCTGCATGGAAGCTACGTTATCATGCAGTGGTGAATGTGCAAAAGGTGCAGCCTAGCGAGGTACTTAGGACATGGAAGACGTAACCTCAAAGACAATCAATGCTCACCTTACAGTTAGTTCCCACAAGAACAGGTCATGACAAAACCATACATGTGGCACGGACACAGCCAAACCAGGAAGCTGAAATGAAGGGACCACTTCACATTGGACTTTCTGTGAGAAAAATCCTGATGGCAAATCTTGCCAACTGATTGGCATAAGTACTCAGATTAGTAAAGGTACGTCTGTGAGGGCAAAGATTCTGTCTGTCCATGAGCTGCTGCGGTCCACCACATGCTTCCTGCCATGATGCTAAGCCTCGCCACGGGGTCAGAAGCAACAGAGCCAAGGACTGACACTGTGAGCCAAATCATTCCTCCCTTAAGTTGTTTTTTCAGTGATTTTCTCATAGCAACTGGAAAGTGACTAACATGGAAATAAACCTGTTCTCATAAAATAGTCTTGACAGAGAATGGAGTATATAGTAATCTAAATCACAATATTATGCTAGGGATATGTATTTTGTTCCCTTAGTTGTTCTAGGCTCCATTAAAGAAAATTCCTATCATAAAGTACTTGTAAGCATAACCTTATATACTTGAGGGGCTGCTCTGTGTTTTGTAAGCTGTGTCCCTGCCTCTGAACTGTGGAGTCTAGATGTCAGCAGCACCTCCCAACATCCAGAAGGGACAACAAAAATGGCTCAAACACAGTCAAATGTACCTCAGCAGGCAGTAGCTCCACTCACATCTCATTAGTGGTATACAAATGTTTTATATATTTGAGACTGTAACATTTGTATTTGAAAAATCTAAATTGATATTATACACCATGGATACTTTTCCCTTCACTACAAACTGACACATACAAAAAAATTTTTGTTGGTAGTGGAGTTTTAATTCAATGGTGTCTGTCACATTCACTTAGTAGACAAGTGCTCTACCACTTCAGCCACACCTGCAGCCCAAACCACATTTTATAGAAAGGTTCAACATGTAGGTTGAACATAAAGGTTCAAAATAGAGGATTACTTTACTCTCAGTGTTCAGTGAGATAGCCCTTCCTGATAAAGGCATTTCCCCATTTTTTGGGGGAGGTGGTGGTAGTGGTACTGGGATTTAAACTTAGGACTTCAAGCTTGCTAGGCACACAATTACTACTTGAGTCATATCCCAAGCCTTTGTTTTTTAGTTATTTTTCACATAGGGTTTCAGTTTTTGTTCAGGGCAATCTGGAACACAATCCTACCTATGCCAATCATGGAGCAAGGGCTACAGCTGCATATAGCTGTGTTGACACCTGGCTCATTAGATGAGACAGGGTCATAGAACTCTTCCCATGATGGACTCAAAACATAATATTCCAAGCTCCACCTCTCAAATAGCTGGGATTACAGTCATGAGATACTACTCCCAGGTCCCCACATTTCTTTAATTCTCCAAGATGACCACGCAGGATTCTCTTCTGTATGAATTTTCTGATAAACATGAACTGAGTAAGTCTCTCAGGAACACCTCCTAAATTCATATGAGTAAGCAACAGTGGCTGAGTGCTGAAATGCACAGACCATACATAAAATGGTTCAACAGAGTAGGTATTTTTTTTCTCACATGTAACACATGGGTGGTGCTGGGCTAGTGGTAGAAAGTCCTCTGTTCTCTTATGTCTTAAACCTCAGTGATTTAAGACACCTATGGCTTCCATCCTGAGACAGGGTGGACTGCAATGCGGTCATTGTTACATTACAGGCCAGAAAGTAATGTTCATCACTCGTGTCTGAATCTCCAGAGAGCTGTGAACTGTTTGCCACAGTAAATGGAGGCAGAGAAAAGCTTGTCATATACCAGAGGAAAGAAAATGGCTTTTGGAAGACTCATAGCTAGTCTCTGCCATACAAGAATTTTCCAACCTGTGAATTCTGTTTCCTGAGGTTTGAATTCTGAGAAAGCTCTTCTACCTTCAAAAGACTCCACTCTTGTGAGTGGTATGATGCCTGCTGAGGTGTGATTTCTGGCCAAAGGTTTTCCCACATTGATTACACTTATAGGGCATCTCCCCAGAATGGATTCTCTCATGCTTAGTGAGGTGTGACTTCCGGCCAAATGTTTTCCCACACTGATTACACTGATAGTGCTTTTCCCCAGTGTGAATTATCTCATGTATAGTGAGGCTTGACTTCTGGCGATAGGATTTTGCACACTGGCTACACTGATAGGGCTTGTCACCAGTGTGAATTCTCTCATGCTTGGTGAGTTGTGACTTCCAGCCAAAGGTTTTTCCACAATGATTACAATGATAGGGCTTGTTCCCAGTATGAATTATCTGATGATGGGTGAGTTGTGACTTCCAGCCAAATGTTTTTCCACATAGATTACAATGATAAGGTTTCTCCCCAGTGTGAATTCTTTCATGTTTAGTAAGCTCTGACTTCCAGCCAAAAGATTTTCCACATTGATTACACTGATAGGGCTTCTCCCCAGTGTGCGTTATTGCATGGTCAGTGAGTTGTGACTTCTGGACAAAGGTTTTTCCACACTGATTACATAGATAGGGCTTCTCCCCTGTGTGAATTATCTCATGTCTATTGAGGGTTGACTTCCGGTGAAAGGATTTTCCACACTGACTACATTGATAGGGCTTCTCCCCAGTGTGAATCATCTTATGCATAGTGAGTTGTGACTTCCAGACAAAACTTTTATGACACTGACTACATTTATAGGGCTTTTCCACATTGTGAATCATCTCATGATGGTTTAGGAGTGACTTCCAGCCAAATATTTTACCACACTGGTTACACTGATAGGGCTTCTCCCCAGTGTGAATCATCTCATGTATAGTAAGGTATGACTTCCGGCGAAAGGTTTTACCACACTGATGACACATATAGGGCTTCTCCCCAGTGTGAATTCTCTCATGTTGGGCAAGTTTTGACTTCCAGGCAAAGGTTTTGCCACACTGACTACACTTATAGGGCTTTTCCCCAGTGTGAATTATCACATGCTGGGTGAGTCTTGACTTCCAGCCAAAGGTTTTCCCACACTGATTACACTTATAGAGCTTCTTCCCAGTGTGAGTTACCTCATTCTTGGTGAGGTGTGACTTCTGGACCAAGAACTGTCCATGTTGATTACACTGGTAGGGTTTCTCACCAGCATACCTCCTCTCAGGCCTACTAAGGAGATGTGTTTTCTGACATACATTCAACCTCTCAGTTTTCACTCCTAAACAGTCTGCATTCTTTATGATCAAATTTGAAATATGGTTGGAACTCAAATGAAAGGCATGTGCTAATATAACCCTCTCCTCAGTTGATGTATTGTTCCTAGTGATTCCAGCTTCCTGCAAATGTCCTTCTTGTCTTTCCACACTGGTCTCAATTATGACATCCACCTTCTGGACATCTAAAATGAGAAAGAACACAATAAGCATATACATGAAACACATGAGCATTTCTATGAAATGTGCATGTGTAGATAAAGGAGGTTCTTCCCTAACTACTGGCACAGGATTTCTTAAAAACCACAATAGGTATTGGCTTATAAGTAGTTTTCTTCCTCCTGACATCAAGTAATAAATGACACTGACAGATTTTATATTGTTGAACTGTTTTTTCTTACACCTTTAATTTTAAAGGAAATTAAAATTTTAAAGGAAGTAGTTGGTTAAAATACTCACCTACACCCTAGTCATGGTTTTCCATGGAGTGCTTCTCACCTGCCATTTCTTTCCCCTATTCTTTTCCTCTATTATTTTGGCAATCCTGGGGTCTCCCACTCCTGTCCTTTTTTATTATTCTACATTAAACATTGCAAAAATTTTCAGGACCAGCAACTTGCATAATAGAAGTGATATCCAACTGACAGCCACCTCAACAGGAACATGCTTTGGGACAGCAGTTTGCATCTACATTTTTGTTTTTGCTTTCTTCTTACCTGGAGAATAACTATATGTATCTAGGGGGCTTTTCAAATATAAAATGTCTTCTTTCTCATTTTAGATGAAAACAGATTCCTACAAAGTCCTAATTTAACCTCACTTACTGTTTCTCATACTTCTCATGAAGTTTTTTTTCTTCATACCACCCTGGACACCCACCTTTGAAACCCACCATCTTTATAAAGTGTTTTTCTGGCTCCTTCTAAGATCAACAGACCTGGCGTTCTCCCCCAAATTCCTGGTAAAGGCAGCCATGCTTCATAACGAACAGCTCCTGAACCTGAATGTTGTTATCTTGTGCACTGTTTTCTTAAGAATGAAGTCTTCTGAACATTTCTCTTCTTTCTTGTTTGTAATGAAATCACTAAGAGAAGATGGGAATGCTAACTTCAAACTACACTCCCAAACAGAGATCTGTGCTCTTGAACATGAAACCCTTCGTTCACTCAGACTTTGGACCAAGAATGTCCTGTCTCCTCCCAAATGCAAACCAATGTGCTGGATTCTCCAGTTTCATGGTGTCTGACCCCATGGCTCACCAGGCTAACCCTGGACTTTTCTGATTTCTTATCAATTCCCTAAGTGAACTGCTCTGAAAGTTTAAATACCAGCTTCAAGCTCCAATTTTCAAACTTTTGCTTCCCAAAGGGATGTAGACTCAAATGTAGATCTTCATATTCACTTATTATTTGTAAAATTTTGAAAACAGGAACCAAAACTCAAGGTATACCCAGGTAAATGCTTAATAATCCCACCACCAATGAAGCCCATTGTTACAGTATGAGACCAGCACACTCAAGGCCCTGGGTTCAATCCCCAGCACAGCAAATTCAAAGAAACAAACTCCACCAAAGACTGTCTTCTCAGACCATCCTTCCTAAATGATCACAAATCAAGTTTCTTTTTCTCACATTGATTCATTATTGCTCATGTTTCTTATTTAACTACCTAAAATATATTACTTCCTTGTTTTTCACTATAAATTCGATGAAAGAGAAATTATTTTGATAATTTTCTTCATTATTACAACTATTAAATTGCCAGTGCTTAAAACCAGCTTCAGTACAATGTGAGAAGCATAAATAATTTATGAATAAATGTCAGACAATACAAGTCCACGAGAAGCTAGTCATAGTGGCAGACACCCATCTCTAAGGAGGCAGAAGCAGGAAGATTGAGACTACAGGAGTCTGTCTCAAAAAAAATTTTAAACTATGTGCTAGAGGCTCACACCTGTAATTCTACATAAGTGGGAGGGTGAGATTGGGAAAATATTGGTTCGAAGCCAGCCCAAGGCAAATAGTTCACAGGACTCTACCTCCAAAATAACTACAGCAAAATGGACTGGAGGTTTGTGTCTCAAGTGGTAGAGAAGCTCAAAGCCCTGAATTCAAACTCTAGTCCCATGAAAATTAATTAATTAATTAAAAGTAAATTAATTTTAAAGAATTCATGAGGATAGAGGGTGAGGCAAATGAGAACACTGAGAAAGTAATAACAAAGAAAAATATCTAAGAATGGGGATTAGATTTTGGATAAAGGTAACAATATACATGTGAGAGCCCTCCCTGGACACAGTAATGCACAGGTGTGATGTGTTTAAGTTCCTCAGGTCAGCAATCTGGAAGATAACCTGGTGAAATCACGCAAGATGGCCAATATCTGCTGAGCTCTCCTTGCATGGCCTCCCCACCCAGAATGCACTGACTGACCTGAAGGGCTCTGATTTGGGGATTGTGCCATGCATGGCTCTGCTCCTTGCTCCAGCCTGAAGATCAGCTCAGGTTTGGTGACGCATTGCCCTGTTCATGCAAAACAAGGTAGGATTTTGTCAAATGATTAAGTCCAGATATTTTCCCCACTATCCCTTTCTGCAACAATGGACATGTTCTGGACCAGTGGTGCCAGGAGCTGCTAGTCACTGTGGTTATCAAACACATGAAACAGGACTAGAATAACTGTAGAGGTACATTTAAAATTATGTTTAATTTCTTTTTCTTGTTTCTTTTATTGATATATTACCCTGTTATAGTTGTACAGGGAGGTACACTGTGACATTTACAAAGTAATTGCAATATATCATAGTTAGATTCAACCCCTCTATCATTCTCCTTTATCCTATCTCCCCCCATTCTCAGAACTGTTGCAATAGGTCTCACTGTTCTCTTTTCATACATGAATACATAATACTTTTACCATAGTCACCCTCCTTTACCCTTTTCTTATACCACAAGAGTTCTTTTACCTTTCATTCCTTCCTTTTTTTAAAAAATTGTTTCTTTATGATGGTTATAAAGGGAATTTCACTGTGACATTTCCTATACATATATGTATTATACCCTGAATTGGCTTATCCCCTCCATTATAAATCAGACTCTTTGAAGCTAGAAAAACCCCAGCTTTGGCATGGTGCAATGAAGGCACACATGTGAACTTTTCATGAGAGAGAGTGAAGAATTGAGTTCTTCATGGACTGAAACTGTGCACCTATAGTTTTCATATATTTACTAAGAATGCAGCAGTTGCTCCTGAGGGCTATAGGGCAGTTTCACTCACCCAAGGACACCAGGCTGCTGTAGGTCTCAAGCATCACCTCCCTGTACAGGGTCCTCTGATCATTGTCCAGGTCCTGCCACTCCTCCCAGGAAAAGTCCACAGCCACATCCTCAAAGGACACCAACTCAGTCACTGAAATGTACTGTCATTGTAATAATTTAATAAGTAGTAAATAGTATTAAAATATTATAACAAATTTTATCTCACACATCTAAAAACATCCTTACCCCTAGGGAATAAAACATGAATAAAAACAGGACTGGTGGTACATGGCTATAATCCCAGCACTGAAGAGGATGAAATAGAAGCACTGTGAGTTCAAGGCTAACATGGGCTACATAGAAAGTTCCACTCTATTTAAAAAACAAATAAAATAAAATTTTGCTTCTTCAAGGAGCTTATGATCTGGCATGAAGAAGCCATTAAATATGAATAAAAACCTATAACCTGTTAGAGAAAATGACTTACTGCCTCAGCGTAAATGAAGTAGGTAAGGAGGACACACACTTCTATTTTGCATGATGAGTCTGCACTTCACTGAGAAGCTTAGGTTTCTTTTCAAATGACTAATAAACTAAAAGTATGCACACAGGCATCACAACATTTTCTCCCTGCCTCCAAAAGATTGCTGGTGTTTGCTCCAAGCATCTCTGCCATTTCCCAAACAACAGGTGTAAACAAGAGGTCAGGTGAGAACAGGTGAGCAAACTGAGCAGATCTACATTCTAACACCCATCCCTGGGAGGAGAACTGGAAAAGCTTAAGGGAGAATTAAAGAGTGAGAAATCAGAGTGAGGTATCAGATCACAGAGAAGAAGTAAGACTGCAGAACATAGAGGTAATCTTCATGGAGAAAAAAGAAAAGAAGGGCAGGAACAGAATTTGATAAGGATTTGTTGAACGAAAACAAAGATATTTTACTTCCAGATGATCTGCTTGATTGTCAACACTTAAATGCTGGCACCATAACATGAAATTTGGAAAAATGGAAGAACACAACAGCAGGCCTGGTGCTGCTAGCTCATGCCTGTAAACCTGGTTACTCTGCAGGCAGAGACCAGCAGGATCCAGGTTTGAAGCCATCCCAGGCAAACAGTTCATGAGACACTATCTCAAAAATACCCAAGAGACACACACACACAAGAACTACAACAACAACAACAAAAAAAACCCCAACAAAACAAGAAAGAAAAGAAAATAATCAATATAAAAAAAGGGCTGGCTGAGTACCAAAACGGTAGAGCACCTGCCTAGGAAGCACCAGACCCAGAGTTCAAACCCCAGCACCACCAAAAAAACCAAGTCCAACAAACTGACGTAGACTTGAACATTCCAAATTTGGAATGTCTGATACCACATTTATGGAACAGCCAACTACCAATTACATACATGATTCCAGAGTTCAGGAAAGAGATGTAAGCTGAAGATAAAATAATTTGCTAAGTAACAGAATTTTAGTGCTGCCAAAAGTAATCACAGTGAGTGAAATGCATAGTCTTTAGATAAGGAAATAACAAGAAAAGAACATAAGGAAACTAGTATTTCCTGATAGAGGAAAAGAAACAGATTACAAAGACCAAGAAAGAATTTTCAGAGTTCATACCAAAATAAAGAAAATCTCAATAATAAGAACTCTGAGGCTTTCATGGTAGGTGCATGCTTGTAATTCCAAGACATGGGGAATTAAGGGAAGAGGATCACAACTTCCAGGCCAGCCTGGGCTACATAGTAACACCCTGTCTCAGAAAGAAAAAGGGAAAAAGGAGCTCCACTAACATAATTAAGCATATTCATATTCTATGGAGACAAACTGTTTCAATGATTCTCAAAGACATTGAGAAGGTTCCTTTTAAAATTCGACCCTAGACAAGACATGGTGGTATACACCTGTAATCCAAGCACTAAGGAGGTGAAAACTGGAAGATCAACAGTTTGAGGCCAGTCTAAGCTACCCAGAGCACAAAAGGCCAGTATGAGGTAAAGAGGGATCATGCCTCAAAAACACATAAATAAATGAAAATACAAGTACCATCCTGGTATCAGTTCTGCTTTAGTAAGGATATGGAATGCCATACAGGACTAGGTGTGAAAGGATAGGACTCAGTCCATGGTAAGACAGGCGGGTGGTGGAATCTTAAGAGGTCATGGAAGGCGTGCCCTGTAGTAGATATTGAGACCTAGCCAATTCTTATCTCTCTTCCCCTTCCTGGCTATGGGGTAAACAGCTTCCTCTGCCATGAGCTCCTGTCATGATGTACTTTTGGGCCTTGCACAGGCTCAGAGGCAATGGAGCCAAGCAATAACACACTGAAAATTCCAAACCCAACACACAATGTAAATCTTTCCTTCTGTTAAGTTGATTTTCTCAGGTATTTTGTAATAATGATAGAAAGCTGAAAATCATAGGAAACTATCACTCCATCCAAAAAATCAAATACAGAGCTGAAGAAACTCCAAATACAACAACTCATCCTTTATCCAAAATAGAGTAGAGACAGAGCATACAGCAGCCAGTCTGTGTCATTTTATTATAGTAGCCTTAATAGAATAACACAGTTTGCCCTCCCTGATACCTTACCATATTACTAAATGTACTATTTTCAACCATTTCTTTCATTTGGCATGACATGTAGGCTATGAAGAAAATATTTCAAGGCATATTAAAAAGCAAAAACTGCAATTTGAAGTGGCAGAGGATGCATCAGAACCAGACATGGCATTGTCACAAAGCAAACTTTCAAATAAACCAAGCCTTGTATGCACATATGAATAATAAAAGAAAAATGAAAAAAATAAAAATAAAAAAAAAAAAAACAAAGCAAACTTTCTTTAAAAACTCTGATTAAGGCATTAAGGAAACTAATGGATAAACTACACACAGCATGCCAGGACAGGTGGGCAAAATAAACACCAACTGGGTATGGCTACAAGAATTTCATTTAAATGTAAACACATATGCCTGGCTCACACCTGTAATCCTAGCATCTGAGGCAGACATCAGGAGAATCAATGTTCAAGGCCAACCAGGCCAAATAGCTCTGGAGACCCTATCTTGAAAATACTCAACACAAAACACAGGTGGCAGAGTGGCTCAAGTGGTAGAGCACCTGTCTAACAAGCATGTGGCCCTGAGTTCAAACCCCAGTACACCAAAAAAAATAAATAAATAAATACAAACACATACGAATTAAAAGGAAATGGATGGAGACAGGGTGAATGTGACCACAGTATGTAACATGCACATAAGTGTATGGAAATATCACCTTGAAACACCTTTGTGAAATTAACATACACTAAATAAATGTTTATTTTAAAAATAAATGGAGAAAATATATTATGGTACTACTAATCAAAGGAAACCAAGGGCTAGTGACATAGCTGAGTTGTAGAGCTTGAGCCTGGAACATTACCAAGAAAGGGGCATTAGGTAAAAATGCACTGATCAGTTGTGCAACACATAACAGTTCTGAGCTTGTATATATCTAACAACAGTTTCTGAAACTATGGGAGACCAACATTATTAGAAGTATAAGAGAAAGATGAATCCATAAGTATAACTGGAGACTTCAACAATCCACTCTCCAAAGTAGACAGACCCGCCAGCCATATAGTCAGTAACGACATAGCTCAATTCAACAAAAGGATTATACTAGTGCAGTAATTGGCATTAATAAAATCAATGCTTCCATCAATAGATTATACATTCTTCCCAAGAGCACATGGACAGTCACCAACATAGGCCACCTTCTCAGCCCTAAAATACACCTGTACAGATATAAAAGACTAGACAGCACAGAGTGTCTGCTTTCAGATGAGAGTAGAACAAATAACAAAAAGATAACTAAAAAACTCTAAATATGTATAGATTAAACAACATATTTACAGACAGTAAAAAAAAGAATTCTCAAGAGCAATTTTTAATTTTGAACTAAATGAAAATGAAAGCACATTTTATGAAAATCTATAGGATGCACACAAAGCAGTGCTTAGAGAACAATTGATGGCAGGAATGTGTATAATAGACAAAAACAAGAATTTAGAATCAATAATCCAAGTTCCTACCTTAGGAAAGTATGCAGAGAAAATAAAAATTAAAACCAGCAAAAGGAGAAAAACAGTAAGAATTATAAGTGGAATCAGTGAAATTGAAACAGAAACTCAACAAAGAAAATCAATAATGGAAAAAAAAAAAGGATCCTTAAAAACATTAATAAAAAAATAGAGAAGACGAACCAATTTGGGGCTGGGGGGTGGTACCACTGGGACAGGGGAGGAGGTGAGGAAAGGGTGTGGAAGGTTGAGTACAGTGCAAATACTATGTACTCATATATGAAAATAGAAAAATGATACCTATTGAAACTGTTCTAGCTATGGGAGAGGGAGAATAAAGGAGAATGATGGAGGGGGTGAATTCAAATGATATATTTGATATATTGTAAGAACTTTTGTAAATGCCATAATGAACCCAACCCAGAACAAAAAAGAAATGAAGAAAAAAAACCCAACATCCTGGCTGAAAAAAGAACAACCATCAATAAACTTCCTAGTTCTTGTGCCTCATGCCCAGCTCCTCAGGAGACAGAGATGGACAGGACCAGTTTGAGGTGAAGCTGGAGGCGGTAGCATGATCCCAGCTACTTGCAAGGTTGTAGGTAGGAGGACTGCAGTCTGAGGACAGCCCAGCAAAACCCACTAGTCCCTATGTGAAACCTGAAGCAAAAACGGCTTGGGGGCATGGTTCAAGTTGCAGAGAACCTGCCTAACAAACATTTGTCTGTACCACCAAAAAAAATATCAATAAAATCCTAAGCATACAGTCAGGTTATGAGAAAGTAAAAGAGAAAGGCTACAAACTACTAATAACAGAAATGAAAAAAGAGTGTCACTACTTTTTCTATGAACATTAAGAAAATAGGACAGGAACAACATGAATAATTCTATGTTCACACATTTGATAGACTAGATAAAATGGAACAATTTCTAAAAGTCACAATTTATCCAAATTCACAAGTCAGAAACAGTGTGAACACATTTCTATTAAAGGAATTGAGTGCTAAAAGAGTGGCTCAAGGGGTAGGGCACCTCGCTGGCAAGAACAAAGCCCAGAGACCAAACCCTACCAGCACACAAGAAAGAAAGAATTCAAGAAACAATGAATAACCTTTCAAAAACAGGAAGTACAAGGTCCAGAGGAGTTCACTGGTAAATTCAACCATGCATTACAGAACAAATTCTCTCAATTCCCTACAATCTCTTCTAGAGAACAGAAGCATAATCAATACTTCCTGATTTATTCCCTAATGACAGCATTACCCTAACACTGAAATCAAACAAGGCTGGTGGAGTGGATTGGAGTGGTAGAGCCCCAGCCTGCCAAGTGTGAGTCCCTCAGTTCAAAAACCAGTGCCGCTGGGATAAAAATATCCAGAAAGTCTCAATACTTTGAAATATCTATGAGTCAAAGTAATATTCACAAGGGAAATGACAAAGTATTTGTGACAAATGTACACAGTTACCAATGGCTTTCTGGAAGACTATAGGAACCACTAGTCCTCTCCAATACTTCCCTCTGTAGTGGAAATGTGAGCCTTGAAATCTGCCCAGATTCAGTAACTCGGTTGGCCAGTGGAACATGAAAAAAGTGGCATTTGGGGACTTCAGAAGTCATGCAGCTTCACTAGTCTCTCATGGAAGACTAATTATGGGGGAAGCCAGTCACCAGGTAGTACATGCAACTATTCTGCTACCTCGTTGGTGCAGAACCACATGGAAGTAGATGTGCTTGTGGACAATCCCAACAAGTCCCAGCAGCTCCAGTGCTAGAAAACAGTGAGTCTACTCCAATGCAGCAACTGTAGGGATTTCAGATGACCCTCCTCAGTTCTGACTTCACGTTATCTGTAATAAGCCAGTCACCACAATCTCCCTAAATTATTGAGCCAAGGCAGTAATTGTATCTATTCACCACAATTTGGTGAATTATTTTTCCTTTTTGGCAGCACTAGGGTTTGAATTCAGGACCTCATGCTTGCTAGGCAGACACTCTTACTACACCTTTGAGCCACTTCACCAGCACCTTTTTGTTTTTGTTTTGTTTTTGGTGATCGATTGTTTTCAAGATAGGGTCTCAGGAACTATTTGCCAGGGACTGGTTTCAAACCTTGATCCCCCTGATTACTGCCTCCTGAGTAGCCAGGATTACAGGTATTTTGCATAGGCACCCAGGTAAGCAGAGCTTTTATAGTTGGGATAACTAAAATCTAGAAACCAGGAGAGCTATGGGAATAAAAATTTACAATATGCAGCACTGCTGGGAAACCAAGCAGAAGTGTAGCCTGCAGGATTCCTAATGCAGGCTGGAACTGAGTCAGGACTCTTGGTGAGTTTGAGGATAAATGTTTCATTGAAACCTGCAGAAAAAGTCCTGTGGATCACAGACTGGAGAACAGTCAGCAAAATGGCTACCTTTCACAGTATGGAAACCTAACAAGGAGGCTCACCATCTCAGGGTCTGCCCAAGCAGACTTCTGGGAAGAAGGTGGAAAGGATTTCCAGGCCTGCCTCTAAGAAAAAATGAGAGTAGAGAGATGAATTGAAGACGACCATTCAAAGTCCAGTTCACTGGCCTTAGAGAACAGAAGGCCAGTGAACAAGGACCTGCAACAAGGAGTGTGTGAGAGGCAAGGAGAGACAGCTTCTGTCCAATGGATTTTGGTACACAGGAAGAATACTCTTGAAAAAAAATTGATTACATTGTATTATTGCCTGTGTCCAAGGAGAAGAGAAATGAAAAGTAGGGACAAGTAGGGGTGTCACTCAGTGGTAGAGTGTATGCGTAGCATTCCTGAGGCCCAAGATCACCACACACACACACACACACACACACACACACACACACACAGGTAAAATGAAAAGGGGGCCATTGGATACTCAATTTAATGTGAGCAAGAAGCAAGCCATAGGTGGAAAGTTCTTAACTGCAAACTGAGGCATTTCTTAAGGAAACATAACATCAACACAGAGAAAGGCAAGAACCTAGAAAGCAGAGTGAAGAAGCATGAGCACCTTTTCTATAGACAAGGACTAGGCTGTAATCAAAACACTGGTGCAGGTGCTTAGTGGGAATAAACTCAGATCAGTGTGTGCAGGGTGCCTTCCACAGCCCCAAGTCCAACACATTCATGCCACTCTCCTTACAGTGTACGAGGTATGTACAGATGAGATAACAGACCACCATGATGTAGGGGTCAAGGGCTTACAGGGTTAATGTGAAGATCTGCAGGTGAGAAGATCCAAACCTCCTTGGAACCAAAACTGTGACAGGTAACAAACAGTAAGTTCTATTTAAACCCATACATTTTTGAGTTTGAACATGTTAAACATCACTAGAGACCACACCAAGTACCTTAGATTGAAACATGGAGTTTGGAGAATTAGATTTAAGTTATGCTCAAAATCAGTGACTGGTAAAGCACATTTCACAGCTATGCTCTCTCTCAAAACACAATTGTGAATTTAAAACGTTCAGCTAATGAAGTTATCACTTTTTATTCTTATCCAACTGTAAAAAAGTTACAATCCATAAACATAGCCATAGCTCATGCAAACATCCATTTTTTGTTATTTATTCTTAAATAGCTAAAATAGATTTTAAACACAGTTTTTAAAGGAGTTTGTATACATGACAGATCCTTTTGAATTACAGAAAACTGTATATTAATAAAACGTACAAATACAGTCACCAAGAAACTTATATAATTAAGTTAGAAACAATTTTTGCTTCTAGTTTTTATTTTTTGCATGTTTTTTCATTGACCTTTTCTGAAATGTGTTCCACTAACTCCTGAATGCTATCTTCTAGGGGATGCCTGAGGATGTCACCACATGTTCTGTTTACAGGCACTGTTCTGTGCAAATACACTCTTCAGGTTTTACCAGGATTGACATATCAGTTACCATTTGTATTCTTGAGCATGATCAGATCCTGTCCATACCTTACCTGTATGCAAACAGTAGGACAAAATGAAAACAATAAACAAAAGTTGACACCAAATGAGATTAGACCTGACAGAGAGGAGAGTCCTGGAAAAATCCCATTTTTAAGGGTTGGATCATGGTTGGGATGGCTGTTGTGCTGTATGTAAGGAAGTGTGAACTACAGACAGCTAGATCCATGCAGGAGACCCACTAAGTGAGTAGAATGAGTCCCAGGATAGAGCAGAAAAAGGAGAAGAATTCTGCACAACAGAATTTCATGAGAAAGGCTGTGACAGGAACTAACAAAGAATGTCAAGAAGGACACCACAAACATATCTTCAAATATGGCAAAATGCAATGGATGTGGACAGCAATTTAGGTTACAAATGGGCTTGTGAATAGCTGAACAAAGACAATGCTGAATGGACTAAAGGGCAAATGAGCAGTGAGTAGATCTGCCAGGAAATTTAACTTTGAACAGTCTGCACGTGTGCAGGTGGCTGACAAACTGGTAGTCACTGAACAAGCTGTGGTGAACACAATCTTCATATATTCCAGGTTTTATCCATGAATCAAATATGGCCTTCCAAAAGCTGCCTGGGACCATACTATATTAGCAACTCCAGAAAAATTTATTGAGAGTATTGCATTAGTACCACATAACCATTTCCACTGCAAAACAATAAAAGTACTACTTCCAGGTTGGTCATGAAAAACTCACTACACCATCTATGAAACCAGATGTTTTAGCCTTTGGTGAAGTTTTTATGCCCCACGAGAAGTTTCCATGCTCTCTTCTCAGGTAGAATTCAAAACATGTAACAAATGTCTTCCCCTTGTCATGGTATCAGTAAGACCAGAGATAGGGCCAGAAACAGTGGCACACACTTGTAACCCTAGATACTCTGGAGTCAGATATAGGAAGATTGTTGTTCAAAGCAAGCAAAAACAAAAAAGTTACCAAGACCTGATCTCAAAAACCAAGGTGGATGTGTTAGAGCACACCTATAATCACAGCAACAAAGAAGATTGAGGTAGGAGGATACTGGTCCCCCAGACAAAAACACAAGACCCTCCCTGAAAAGTAACTAAAGGAAAAAGGGCTGGAGGCATGGCTTAAGTGGTAGAGCACATGTCTAATAAGTACAAGGTGTTCAAACCTCAATAATGAAAGTCCAGAGACAAATCTGTACTCAACACAGATGTTTTATTACCTGCTTGTGGCTGGATGAAGTGGCTCAAGTGGTAGTGTCTGCCTAGCAAGTGGTAGAATGTGTGGCCCTAAGTTCAAACCCCAATACTGCAAAAAAATAAAGGAAACCCCCTGCCTACGTCTATAGTATGTCAACTCTATCTTATTTATGTGCATTACCCTAAAGCTGTTTTACTCTTTTCCACAAGTTCATTTGTTTTTACAAACTTCACAAAGCTCATAAAAAACTATGTAAAACTAAATGAAGAATAAACAAACTCACCGGAAATTGGTTCATTTTTTATTTCTCTTAGAAGCACATTCTGGAGGTGTACCTGAGAGAAGAGCAGACTCATGGGTCTACAGGCATTATTTGGTTCTGATTCTCTGCACAGAACTCTACAAGTTAGCTGGAAATACAGACCAAAAACCAAAAACAAACCCAAACCCTAAACTTCTCTGTAAAATAATATTCCATTATACAAGAAAAGGCAACAAAGACCCCAATGTAATAGAGCACCTGCCTAGTAAGTAAGTTTAAGGTCCTGAGTTCAAACCCCAGTGCCAGCAAAAAAAAAAAAAAAAAAACTACAGACCCACAAGCCCATTAACCTATAGAGATTAAACATAAATTTATTACTGGGCCAGGCACTGGTAGCTCATGTCTGTAATTCTAGCTACTCAGGAGTGATAGGTAGCAGTTAGACATAGGTGGTGACCACAAGAGTAGATAGGGAAATTATATTATTTTAATAAAATTTAAAGGGACAGGCTCTGACATTGGAACCAGTAGAGCCAGAACAGCTAGCCCTCTGCCTTGTCCTTTTAGATGCTAACTTACAGGAACAGGGAGACAAAGAGGAGCTACCAGCTTCTGCTTTCCTTTTTGAGATGTTAAGGAGCTACAGGGATCCCTGGGTGGGTGGGGAATAGTCAAAGGAAAGTTCTAAAGCACACCTATTGTCTCAGTGTTTTGGGATGGATGAAGGTGTGATTGGATGTGATTAGGTAGGATGACCCTTTCCTGTTTTAATGGCCATCTCACCCACCCAGACCCACTATCTTTAACCAGCGGTATTCCTCCAGCTCTCCAATATAACACTTAAGAAATGGGGACCAGTTTTTGCTCCCATTTGCGGTATGGAGAATGGGAAATGTCTCTCTCTCCCGCCCCTTAACCCTTGCTGTCACTCTAGAGAAAACCAGCTTTCAGTCTCTTGAAAGTGTAATGCTTCCTAGTAAACCTTACTGTTACTTTCACTGAATCTTTGCATCTTGCTTCAATTCTTCTCCTGATGGACGGAAGAACTGAGGTAATTTCAGGACCATTTTTCCAGTAACAGGAGGATTGTAGTTTGTAGTCAGCCTTGGGTACAGTTCCAGAGACATTGCCTCAAAAAAATCCCATCACAAAAAAAAAAAAAAAAAAAAAAAAGCTAGAAAGTAGCTCAAGTAGCAACCTGAGTCCCTGAGTTCAAACTCCAGCCCCATCAAAAAAAAAAAAATTGCAATTGGGCTAATTAGTACATAATCAACTGACTCAGCAATAAATAATGATTCCCAGGTCGAGGCCACCCCGGGAAAATACTTCACAAGACCCCCATCTCCAAAATAACCAGAGCATGGGCCGGCAGGGTGACTAAAGTGTAGGAGTGCCTGCCTAGCAAGAATGAGAACCTGAGTTCAAGCCCCGCTACTACCAAAAAAACAAAATTAAAGAATATTTTAATTGTCTTCGATGAAAATGCACCAGGGGCCCACAGCACAATTAAATTTAAAAATTTTTAAAGTGTACAACTTAAAAAAATTCACCTGGGGCTGGATACGGTGGCACGTACCTTCAATCCCAGCTACACAGGAAGGTGAGGTAGGAGGAGGATCATGGTCTGAGGCTTTCCCCAGGCAAAAGCAAGCACTATTTGGGACATGGATCAAGTGGTAAAGCTGCTGGCTTCAAGGCCCTGAATTCAAAACCCACTACCGCTAAACAAAAAATTACGGTAAAAACACCCTATCTGAAAAAATGCCTACAAGCAAAGAGGGTTGGGGGTGCAACTCAAGTGGTGCAGTGCTTGCGAGTCCGTGTCCAAACCAAAATAAATGAATAAATAAATAAATAAAATCACTTGAGCTGTACGACAAACTAATCACTGTCCAGAGAACTCCAGAAGCCACTCCCACTGCAATTCCTCCTCTCTTCATGGAGACATGCATGCTGCAACTCCGTACTTTGCTGATGCTCGTGCGTAACAAATGTACCTGGACCTTGGGGGCAGCGTCCCCGTGACGGTTCCAGGAGGCGCCTCCGCGTACCCGCAAGACAACGATCTGCGCTGTGCCACTGACGCGCCCTGGCCACGAGGACGCCACCAGATGTGACACGACCAAGTGAGGAAAGGCTTTGCTCCAAGGTGCGCCTTCCTGGCCGCACTCACACACATGGCCGCTGCCACTTTCCCTCCCAGCCCGGCTCGGCTCCGCCGGCCACCTGTGTCACGGACCTGCGGGACGACCACGTGCGGTTCTGCCAACACCTCCTCAGGGTCGCCAAGGCCTTTTCTCTCTCATCCTCTCAGGAACCTTCAGGAATTCGGCAAAAGAACTCAAAGACCCCGCCACAGCTTCCTAAGACCCGCCAGTCCCGGAAGTTCTGGGGGAAACTGAGGGGTGGGGCGGCGCCTGCGCAGAAAAACACAGAAGCGCCGCTCTCCTGAAGATGCTTGTGACCGGACTGCGTGAGACTACATTTCCCATAAGGTTCTGCGCAGCTCCCACAAGAGTAAGGGGCACTGTACTTCCTAGGAGGTCTTATTGCAAATAGACCCGGACCCACGTGATACCGGGAGGAATCCTACGTCTGTATTAAATCCTGCTCTCACCATCCAGCGCGTTGTGGGACAAATAGCTTAAAACTTTCAGCTTAAATGCTTTGGGCCAGAGCAGTGACCGACCCTGTAATCCTACCTACTCCAGAGAGCGAGATAAGGATCGTGGTTGGAGGCCAGCCCTAGCAAAAAATTCTAGAGACCCCATGAAGGACTGTCTTGTGCCCTAGCTCATCCCTTTGCTGTACAGCGGATCCCCCGGGCTTCTGGCATTGGATTTCAGTCGTGGAAATTCCATGATGGACAACGTGAGGTTTTGACCTCAAAGAGCTCCTGCCGGGAGCTGCAATGGCATCTTAAAGAGAGGAAAAATGCACCACCCCGCCTAGCTGGGCCTTGGATCCCAGAGATTAAATTTCTGGCTCCAAACAATCTTTTTAAATAAGGGGGAGAAATTGTGAGGTGCTGGGGCAGAGCCTGGACTCAGGGAAAGGAAAATTTCAAGTAGCTAGGGAATTCATGGGTTAGCCTGTCATACTGCTGCCAAAGTGGTGCCTGTGTAATTGGCATCCACTAATTATGAATGTCAGAGGGAAAACTGTTGGCAATAATGGCACCGATGGATTTCGGTTCTTACTGTACCCTTAAGCTTCTGTTTCCCAGGGTCAAGGTCCTGCCTCAAGTCTAGCTTGAATCCTCCTTCTGCCCCAACCTCCAATCAGCATGAACCATAAGATCCTAACCAATCAGATCATGCCGAGTCTCACTGAGGGTATTTAAGCCCCCATATCTCTCTCTCTCTCTCTCTCTCTCTCTCTCTCTCTCTCTCTCTCTCTCTCCCTCCCCTCTCTCCCTCTCCCACCCCGCAATAAAGAATCTCTTGGCCAGATCACTCCTCTCCATGTGGTCACTTTGGGGCCTACATTTGCCTACAAAAACTAGCAATGCTGGCTATCTTAGTTTAGGATTTATTGCAGAAGACAACACGTGGGCTCTGGAGTCAGACTCTTGTCTTATAAGAGTCTTAAATGCATTGGGCCATTCTTTGCACAGATGAGCCTCAGTGCCAGGAGCTGCAAAATGGGCTTTAATAATAGTCACTACTGCTTAGAGTTGTTAGGATCAATATAGTATTTAATAAATGATAGCTGCTATTGGATGTGTTAGATTGAATCTGATGAAGTTGCCAATTTTTGCTGGGACCTGCATTGTTCACCTAATAGTACCAACGCAGGCTAAGTTAGGGAGAGACCAGGTCTCTTCTGACTTAATATAATATTTCAGGTTGAACATTTTTCTCCCTCTCTCTGAGCCTTCCTTTCCATGGCAAATATGTGCAGATTGTTCACGCCTTAGGTCAAACCACCACCCTAGCCCAGGGACCACCCAAAGTCTTCCCCACTCATTGATTTTTGGTGGTCAAGAGTCACTTAGGTTTTTCCTCTCCCATAGGTTAGCCCAGGTTTTTAAAAGCACCTAGAAACATGGAAAGCTCTCTGTGCTTCCACATCATACCTGGTGCACCATGGCCTCTTATAACATTTTTCTCACAGATTCAATCCCATCTGTTTCATAACCAAAATTCTCTGGCCACTTGAATCTTAGTCCTTACTTCTGCCTTTTCCATACTTACTAAGATAGGCAGATATCACCAGTTTTAATGGAGACGTAATCCTTTTTACTACAACAGTCTGCCCCTCTCCCACCCTGTCATACAAATTCTAATTTAAAAACAAATTTTTTATATAAAATAAAACATGGACTTGTACATTCTATATCCTTTGTCCAAGACTAGAGTCTCTAAATTTACATTAAAGGTTTGAGTAATAACAAAGGTACTGAAACTCCAGGTAAACTATTAATAGAGATAATTTAAAACATCCTCTAGAGGTAAATCTAAAGCCTTCACAATGTAAGAGCACACTCAGAATTAGTGTAGATTTTGTGTACATCTATTGTATGATCAACTTACTAGAGACAAAAATCTGATAGCTGTGACAGTAGTCACAGTAGCTGTGACTGAGACTGACTCAAAACACTTTCCTAGAATTGACTCTTGCTTCAGCTATCAAGCCTCCCAAAATCAGTCCTAAAAGAATAGAATGGGACACTTCCCAATCTGTTCCTCAAAATTTTTCAAAAAACTGATCAACATACTTGTGGCCATTTTGATACACTGGGAAACTCAGTAGTGAAGGTCCATCTTCTGCTATTAGATGGAAATCAAAGGTGGACTTGAGCAGCAAAGGTCAAAAAGTTTTATTCGCAGAGATGAGAAAGGAAAGACCACATGGGGTCATGCAGCAGTGAGTCAGGTTGGAAATCAGGTTTTATAGGTTTATTTATTGCCCAAGCGTGGAGATTTTGGCATGGACAGATGTTGAAGGAGAAGTGTCACCCTGGTACAAACAGATGTTTCTTGGGAAGGAGAAGGGGCATTTTTCCCCTTGGCTAATTGTCACCTTTTGGGAACACAGACCTCCCACAGTCCACTTTTCAAGTCCCGCCTCTCAATGATTGCCCTAACTGCTGTTAGGAACAGGGATGAAGAAGTCTATTCAAGGACTGCTTCCTGCTGAAAGAGGGCAATGAAGGCATACACGGAGTCAGGGTTGACCACCAGAGGGTTTATTGAGGGGACCACAATAGTAGGTCATTTTGATTTCCATCAGGGTCATCTGTAGTTTGATGGATTCTAGGCAAGAGGAAACAAACTTGACAGGTAAGTTTAAAATGCAAGGCACAAACATAAGTAAGAAAATAATGGCAAGTATAGGCCCCAGAAAGGGTAGCAACCATGTCCTGGAGGGGAGCCAGGATTTTATTTGATCCCATACCTGTGTGGATATCTGAGTTTTGAGGGACTGTTCTCAGAGCCACTTAGCCTATTGGAGAATGTAGTCTGCATGCTCCTCTACAATGCCCGAAGTGTTTGTATAAGTACAATAGGAAGTATTGGCAATGGCACATACCCCTCCTTGTTTAGCCAAAAGAAAATCTAGGGCTTGGGGGTGGTCCATGACCACACAGGCAAGGGATGACAAAGACCTTTGCAGGTCCTTAATAGCAAGGCCAACCTGGTCTGAGGCGCCCTCTACTACTTTGCTCAACTGTTTTGCAGTTATGTGATTGGCAACCACTCCACAGCTTATTCCAGCTAGGGTTGCAATCAATGACATTATCCCTAAAACTATTAGAGTAACCTCTCTGGATCAAGTTCAGCTTGGCTCCTTTCTGTGGTCCTCATTCACCAGTGTTCACAAAGCTACACTCTGATGTAATTTTGCTGCTCTGTACTTTTACATTTCTGTTTCTCATGAGTTTTATAAGAAATGGGTTTTCCTGAATGATGACCACAGGTATTCCACCGTCTAGTACTCTACTTATATGTGGCTTTATTACAGCAGTGGACATGATGAGGTAGTGGGAATTATCCAAAAGCCTAAGGTAAAAGTCATTTCAGAGACAAACTAGGTTACTCCAATAGCAGCTAATGATTAAAAGGGATTCTGAACAGATAACACTCTAAGCTCCTTCATGGCAGAAATGCAGACTCTGTGCTCAGTGACCTTCAGACACTGGTGTCAGCAGGCCACCATTTTCAGAAGGACTATCAGGAATCTTAAGGCCACTGTTCTGTCCTAATTCTACAAGAATTCTGTAATTGCAGTATGATGTCCTGTGACCACATTGTGCTGAGAGTCAGAGATGGGGCATGGACATTGTCCCCAGAACTCTACTGTAGCATACAAGGGGTTTGTTTTTTTCCATGGTGACATCTCTCCGTTTTAGAGCCCATCTGAGACTCTGAGGGGCTGCTGATGAGTGAGTCAGATGTCTTGATGGTCACAGGAGGATGGCTGGCAAAACACTAAGCTCTTTAACACATGAATGTTTGGGGGGCACTTACCATCCACACCATAATACTGAATCTCTACCCTCAAAGGGTCAGATTCTTCTTACAATGGAAAATGCATTCAGTCCATCTGCAACAGTTCCCATAATTTTAACAGTTCCAGAGTTGCTCAGAAGTTCAGAGTTTCCTCTGAGACCCAAAGCAAACTCCTGGCTGTGAAACCCCAGAAAATCAAAAAGAAAGAAGAAATCAGACCAAAGCAAGACCAAAACCAAGCATGGCCAACAACAAACCCTATAGCATCAGGTCCAGCATCAGGGGTCACTGGTGCTGTGATCTTAGCACCAAAGATCTCAGATAGTCCTGTCCCTATGGCTTTGAGAGGTATAACCAACATGGCTGCTATTAGGCTGGCTGTGCTCACTGCCTGTGACCTTCCTTCTGTATATCATCCAGCTTCGTGGCAACTGACCTCCCGGAGTCTCAATGGCTGCTCAGGTTCACTCTCACAGCTTCACAATTTTACCTCTCAATGGCTGCTTGCAGAGACTCCAGCCCTATATCCTGCTTGTCTTCTCAGGTTTTCCTTGAAATCTCCATGGAATCCTCTATAACCCCATATTTCTTGCATTCTGCAGACCTAAAAGCAAGCATCATGTGGAGGATGCCAAAGCTGGCTTCCGCTCATACTGTACAGCCTGGGCCCACTTAAGCCTTAGCTTCAGCAGTCTCTGAGTGCCCAGATGGCTGACCATGGGAAAGTGAATTCCAGGGAGATAATTTCCTAGGTGGTCAGGGAAAGCAGAGAACCTCAGGCTTCTCCTCTTCTCTTCACACAAGAGTCTCCAAAACAGCAGGGCCACTATGGCTCACACCTGAATACTAGCTACTTGAGAGGTTGAGATCAGGAGGATCATGGATCAAGGTCAGCTAGGGCAAATAGTTCTTAAAACACCCACCTCCAAAATGACCACAGCAAAATGGCTGGAGGTGTGGCTCAAGCAGTATAGCAGGAAGCCCTGAGTTCAAACCCCAATCCCACCCTCCAAAAAGAAAAAGTCTCTGAAAGGAGCTTACACTTTCAAACCCTGGAGCTGTGCTGGGTAGGGTTGTGCTGATTCTTAAGATGCTCTCAAGGCACTTTCCAAAGTCCTGCTGCAAATAAATTCACTTACTCTTAAAAACACTAATCTCTGTAGCAAGCACCCCTTGGCTGCAACTTTACACATGTTTCTTTCCTGAACAAAAGGCAAGTTTTCAAAACTTTTTCTCTGGTTCTTTCTCCCTATTCTCATGTATGTGTGACTAGGAGCAGTCATCTATATCCATGCCATACCCTGAGTATTGTGCTGTCTTCAACTGACCACCATCAGATGAACTAGTCCACCTCCTACAAACTCAGCCTCAAACAAATATCAGGGAATAACAAAATGCACACAAGTTTTTTGCCAGATTCTCATTCATATGGCCTGTAGGCTGGTTCCCAACAGAGTCCTGGTTCCCATCTGAACATTGTAGTAGAACTTCGTGTCTGCTTTCCTATCAGGAATCTGGCCTTCAGAGTCCTCACCAGAATTGCCCATTAAGCTCATTTACAGTGTTGTAGGACTTCTCTAGCCCACATCTCCAAACCTTTCCCAATTCCTTCCCCAAACCAATTCCCAAGTTTCTGAGCCACATTGTCAGGTATACTCACACCAACGACCCTGCAACACTTAGCTGTCCAGTACACAATCATCAACTTACAAGGAGGGAAGTCACCATTACAGAGGTTTAAGTCCATGGTCAGCTGGCTCTATTGATTTTTGGACTATGGTGAGGAAGAACATTATGACAGGGAGTGTGGAGTGGAACAAATTTCATCCTTCATGGCATCTAAGAAGTAAAGAGCTTGCTTTTGTAACCAAGCTCCTTCCCCAATTCCCTTTAAGCCATCCTCAATAAAATAAACAGTTGGTTTCTCTCCAGAACATATGGCAATCCAGAAGGCAGTGGGGTGACACATATAAAATATACTGAAAGAAAAAAGCAAAACATCCTTTCAGGATGAAGGAGAAATTGAGGCATTTCTATATAAACGAAAAGGAACGTACTTTGTTAACAGTTGGTGGGCCTTACCAGAAATGCAAAAGGAAGTCCTATGGGCTGAAATAAAAAAGCATAGACAGTAACGCAAAGCCAAATGAAGAACATTACTAGAGGTATTGGAAAGACCAGTACTATTGCACTTTGGGTTAATTACTCTTCTTTTTGTGCTTGATTTTAAAGTTAAATGTATGAAGTGAGTGACAATTCCATATGAAGAGGAACACTATACATACAGATGTAATCTGTGATGTAGAATATACAAAGGGAAGGAGCAGAGCTGTGTAAGAGCAGAGTATTTTAATACCACTGAAACTAGGTTGCTACACATTTAAGATATTCCTGGTAATCCCAAAGGCAATGAATAAAAAAATACCTAAAAAGAACATAGAAAAAGAAAGAAAAGGGGATCAAAATTGTACAGGAGCAAAACTCAACTGAAAGGACTGTAATGTAGCTCAGTTGTAGAGTCCTTGCCTAGCTTCCATGAAGTCCTCAGGTAAAATCACCAGCACTGAAAACCAAACTAAATCCATAAAAAATGCTGATGCAGGAATGAAATGAAATAAGCATATAAGCCAGACACTAGTGGCTCACATCTGTCATCCTAGCTACTTGGGAGGCTGAGATAGAGAGGATCACAGTTTGAGGCCAGCCTAGACAAATAGTTCACTGGCCCAATCTCCAAAATAACCAGAGCAAAATGGACTAGAGGTGTGGTTCAAGTAGTAGAGTGCTTACTTTGCAAGCACAAACTGCTGATTTCAAATTCCAGTCCCAGAAGGAAAAAAAAATACATACAGAAAACAATGGCCAAATGGCAGGAGTTAGACCTTCCCACTCAGGAATGCCCTAAAACCAATGGGTTAAACTGTCCATTTAAAAGTCAGGCAGTGGCAGAATGGATTTGAAGACTATGATCCATATAAGCTGCATTCAGAGAGACTCACTTAGAGTACAAAGAAACAGAATGATTGAAAGATGGGAAAAAGTTGTTCCTTGAAAACAGTGTATTATCCTGAAGGGTAGATTTTTATATCAAAAAGGTAGCAAGAAAGGTCAGTATATATTGCTAAATATCCATAGTCACCAAAATACAATAATTTTTATCATATTCCCCAATATATGAATACTCCCAAAATATATGAAACAAAACTCTATGTAATAAAGACTTTAACATGTCATATCCAAGATCCATGGGGAAACAGAGAACTTGACCAACACTATAAACCAATGTAGTCTAGCAGACTACACAGAACACTAAAATCAACCCCAGCAGAGTACACATTCTTTTCAAGTGCTCATAGAACATTCTCCAGGACAAAGCATGATGTGTTAGGAAACAAGTCTTAATACATGTAAAAAGATTGAAATCATACAAGGAATTGGGTCAACAATAGTAGAATAAAAATTTTAAAAACAGCAGAAGAAAAACTGGAAACTAACTTATGATAATAATATGGTGAAAAAAATAACACACTCTTAAGTATCCATGGGGTCAAAAAAGTTCACACAGAAAAGAAGGTGTGGGACAATGAAAACAAAAACAGAATGTACCAAAATTTACTCACACAGTGGAATCAGAAGCACTGCTCAGAGGCAAATTTATGTTTCTCCAGACCTGTTAAAAAAAGAATGATTTCATCTCACCAAAAAGAAAAATCTAAACACAAAGCTAGCAAAAGGAAGGAAATGATAAAGATTATGGCAGAGATCAATGAAGTAGAGAATAGAAAAAGAAGAGAAAAATTAGTAACACAAAATATTCATTCTTTGACAAAAACTAACAAACTTGACAAAGCTTTAGTAAGACTACAGAGAAGAAATGTAGAGGACTCATGTTACAATATTTGAAATTTAAGTGGGAACATTACTATTGACATTGCAGAAATAAGAAGAATTATGAGTACTATACAGCACTACATTTCAGCACCATACAATTGAGTTACTATCCAGCCATAAGCAGGAATTTCAAAATCTTGGGGGACCACAGAATTGTGATATTTTGTTATGGCAGTCTGAGCAGAAAATCAGAATGGGTGACAAGTAAATTAGACCCTAAGATGTAGTTAGGAAAGTAAGATTGGAAGTAAAGCTAGGTACTCACCTCACACCAAACCTTGTCAAGCAACCCCAGAAAGAGCTATCAATGGACGTTTGAATTCAGTGATATCCTCTTTAAACAGTTTAACACTTGATATCTATGTTACAAGAAGAATGTACTCCAAATATAAAATATATCAATATACAAACTCATTTAGGGTTGGAGTCTGGCATAAGTGGTAGAGCACCTGCCTGGCAAGCATGAGATCCTGAGGTTAAACCACACTACAAAAGAAAGTGTTAGGGTACAAACAATATACAAACATATTTCTTTCAAACAATGGAATAACTATCTTGGAGTGATCCTGGATAAAATAAAAGCCATCCTTGAACATGTTCTGCAAAGTAGCATTTCTGCTCTGTAAGTGCAATCTGCAATATTTCCAAAGTAAATAAATGTTATAAAATTAACCTGTCATGAAAATTTTAAGAAGTAGAAACCCCAACTTCACTGTTCTAAATACAAGGAACTATTCTCCACCTGCCCTAATGTGGACTCTAATGAATCACACTCAAATAAATCCTCTGTTCCAGAGTGTGGAAGGGACCCCATATATGGCTCTCACAAACAATATGGCTTAAATAGAAATCCTTGTTACCTGTCACAATTTTAAGGGTCAGGGAACTGGACAGGGCAGTATGGCTTGTGTTGTGTATATCTTGGTGTTTCACTGTGTCTGTGTTCAGGGCAGTGTGGTCAGCTACATGATGACTCTTGTCCCAGCTGGAAGGTCACTAATGGCACAAAGTTTGCCTTTTGGCCATAAATGACTCACATTTTGACGAAGTTCAAAATATACTTGGCTTCTCTTAGGTCTTTTCCTGTTTTGACACTGGTGGAAGCTCAATTAACTCAGATTCTGGTTGTTATCAGGGACTTGGAGGTCATGTTAGGCTATTGTCTGAGGTCATGAACAAAGAATTGATTTGAGAGACAAGGAATGTGTGGCAAAGCTTACTGAAAGTGGAAAGTGAAGGTATCTCTGTCAAGGGAGAAACTAAGGGTTAGAGCCATGCAGGTCAAGTCTGGGGTATCACTGGCTTTTGTGTGGTTTGAGCCATGCTGCTGGGAGAAACCTGTGTGTTTCTGCAAGTGGGGTTAGGACAATTAACAGATTTGATTGACAGCTAGATGATTACTGATTTCTGATTGTGCATGTTTTATGCATGAGATGTCAGTAACATTCATGAAGCCCTAAGTAGGGAAAAATACCTAAAAGGTAAATACAGGTGACAGGTGAGCTACACTTGCACATACTTTCAGAACTGATCGGAACGGTTATCACTTCTCCACACTTTACAGGATGCAGAGACCTCAAGAATTGAAGCATTTATTAAACCTTAAAGGTGTATATCTGTAGGTCATTGGGAGGTGTGGATTTTATCTCTCCTGCCAGACTTCATGTTAACCCTGTACACCCTGGACCCCTACATCAACTCCCCACTGAGAGAGGATTCCCCAAATCTTTTGGGAATAGTTGAGGAAGAGTAGGTTCCTCTCTCTCTCTCTCCCTCTCTCTATCATAACTTCTTCCTTGTTTATCAGAAGCAGTAAACCCTACCTACAGAGGATCCTTGTCCTAAATCTATCTGAAC